CGGGTTTGCTAAAATGCTTTGTCAGATCTACCACCCAAATACGAAATTGTTTAAGTTGCAGAAAAATAACTTAGCAACATACCGAGATCATGCAATATCAACTTTATCTACTTCATCTAAGACATAATATAATTTAATAACACTGAAATGTAGATCTCATTCAGATTAAATAATACATACTTATTACACCTGGGTTTGTCTCCTCCTTTACGTTGGTAAGCAAATATAATAGTATGTATACAAATCTGTCACCATTTACCTCATAAAGCTCGAAAGATTGCTTTCTAACCGACTTCAAAAAGGAGGTTATATATTTTTTTTCATTAGAGAATACATAATATATCAACTATTATATATACACAAGTGAAGTGGCGGGGGCAAGCTAGTTTATTAGTATGGATGAACAAACTTACACAAAAACCGATTTCGATATATGTAATAAATTACGTTTAATTGCAATCCGAAGCGATGTAGCGCCGTGTTGTCTAGAGTGTAGAATTACATTTACAATGTTTTTAAAGTACTGATAATTTCGATGCAAATTTGAGCTTTATGTCCCTTTTAAAATGTATTTTTAAAATTCTATATAAAGGATATAATCATGCGAAAAAATAAAAATAATTTAGTTTAATTCCATCAGCGAGCGGGGGCAAAAGACTCTATCCTAAAATAAAATATGTCGGTGAGTTATTTTCTTTAAATATAATTAATTATCATATAATTTTTTAATGTAATAACTTAATTGATTGAATGCAACTTAATAATTGTTACACATTTATATTCAATATTACACGCTTCTAATAACGATCATTTGAATTTATAAATAATATATACCTATAATATGAGTGACAAATTGATATTGATTCTTATTATTATTTTTAGGACTATGAAAACGACCTGTTCAACTTCATTCCCATGAACAGGGTAGCGGAACAAAAAAACGATAAACAGTTGAACCTAGAAGGTCCTAGCAGCAAGCAACTGAAAAAATCTTCAACGGCTGCATTTACCTCTGTAAAAAAACTTACACGAGGTGCTAAAATTATAAGGATCGAGATTTATGATACCGAAAACTTCCCTGATCATATAAGTTCACTATGCAATTGTGATGCTGAGTTATGTGTGCAGCATGTGGTTAAAAATGTTTTTATGGACGATATTTATAAATCTGTTAAAGAAATTGCTTTAAAAGTGTCAGATATAATGCCATAAATAAAGTTCAATCAATTATTATTCAATAGTATTTTTTTTAATAACCTTCTACTGAAATGATGATTTTTATAACCTCTTACGATACATTTTATTTATCATCCAGTAGTTTTGATTCCTAAATTCCAATAAAAAGTGTAGGGTTTGAACCCGGAACGCACGACTGACTGCATTCACATGTTCGAAAAATCATATGAGTGAGCCTAGCCTGGATGTTATCACGAAGTTATCACGGAGGTAAGGTAAAGGTGTATGGATTTGCGGTTGGTAATTTGGTAATGGTTGTTTGTAAGTATAAATTATCCATGTCACTATATCCTTTAGGGTTTTGTAAGCTGGTGACCTATAATTGTCCAGTTTTATAGACAAAGGCTTAATTACTCTTTCTTTTAGAAGGATAAGGGCCCTTGGCTTCTCAGCTGAAATGAGCCAGTAAAAAGGTTGATAATAAATCAATTCGCATAAAGTGCTGTAAGTATGTCGACAGTCTATATAAGGCGACTATGGAATTCATCTGAGCGCATTATAATTTCAGGGCTGCTATGTGCTGAATAGACGATGCAGTGGAATATAGAATGCACTTATAAAATAAATACCAATGGAAATAATGATTAATTATTATTAAGTTGTTATATCGAAGGGGTATATTAAGTTCTTCATTGAAATCAGTTCAGAAGTATATGCATTCATCGTTTCATATGTATAAAAATGTATAAATAAACAATATCAATAACAATGGAGTGAAGAATAGGATCCGTCATTTCGATATCATAATTAATCCATATTATATAAGTTATCATCGTGTGTGGCGCTTGGCTGTATACTTATAGCGAACCGTAGGTATGCTTGTATTCCTAATTTGGAAGACGGCTGCATTCTTTTGTTAAGTTTATTATTACCTATTCATTATGCACATATTTCAATTATAGGAGCTTTTTTTGGCCAGTTCATTACATATGTCAATCGAAGATTATACCTACTTACAAATAGGCAGACTGATTGAAGACCAGTTTAACCAGACAAATTGAATCATAAGTTTACGATTAGCTCCAACTGATTGATAGTCTAGTAGGTATATTTCATGTGTGGAATTGGGGTTCCTGGATTTTTTGATCCAGGAACCCCAATTCTACACTACTTGTATAGTACGTGAATGTCGAAGCATCATTTTCTATTACCTCTAGCACCAGTTCTTCTACTTCAAGACATCATAACTTAGGTACTACTTATGACACTTTCCGTTTTGTTTCTTTTACTGAATGGCCATAAGATGTACTAAAAGGCATTTCAAGGTGATCCGTTTTTTACCGGACACCCTATATAATAGGTATACTAGCGCCCCGCCCCGGTTTCGCACGGGTGTAATGTCATAATGTTGATACTAAATTTCTCCACCATTTAATGGATGTTATTATACATATAACCTTCCTCTTCCATCTTTCTAATAAAAAATCGCATCAAAATTCGTTGGGTAGTTTTAAAGATTTAAGCATAAATAGGGATATAGGGACAAAGAAAGCGACTATAGTTTATACTATGTAGAGATATATGTATAAAAACACATGTCAAAACATATTGGAGCTAGTGTAATTACCTATGTCTAATCAGGAACGTCGTGCTCCGTAATCACTTGCGAGCACAACACAGTCAAAAAAACCTTAGGTATACAAAATGCAGACTGACAAACCAACATTTAGATTTAGACAGATCTGATACATTCCATATTTTTTGCACGGCTATTTATTTAGCCGTGCATAGTAATTAATCAATTCAGATTTGCGTCATCTCTTGAATGCTTGATATTGTAAAGTTGTTCTAGTTAAAAAAACTGACTTAATACCAGATTTTGTTATTGATAGTGTTTTTCCTCTTCAGTCAGTATTTAAGTGTGGGAGGGCCAAACATTGGCACGAATGGAGTGATACCACGGCCTCACAGAAAACCAGCGTAAAACAACAGCGTTGTGTTTCGCCGTGTGAGTGAGGTTACCGGAGGCCTAATACCTCCATCTCTTCCCATCCTTTCTCAATCCTTAACTATCTAAACCCTTTTCCCAAAAAGGTAAAGCACTCATAACTAACTGCTTTGGTGTTGCGGGTGTCCTTCGTGTTCGCGCGGCTCGTTTGCCGACCTATCACGTGAAAATAAAAGCTAGATATAATATATTTGTGAAGTCAGTTTAGACTTCCTTTATCTGCGCTTAAAAATAATGAAACTTATACATGATGCATATTTCTAAAATGACACTACTTAAATATTCGGATTTCTTTAAAAAACAGAAAATTTTGTATTATTTTCCAATATTTTATTTTGACTTGATTCAAGTCATTGCCAATGATATTTTTCAACTTTCCACTGTCATTTGAACTGTCGAGATTTCATGAAAAATTGGTTTAAGCGCAATGAGTCACCGCGGCCTCTACCCAAAACAGGAGAAAGAACGGGGGCGTTTTTAGTCAGTCAAGAGTCTGACACTCTCGCTCGCCTTACCCTGGGCGGGAGAAGTCATTTGATGATTTTTCCCGGACAAAAAAGGAGATTGTGTCGAGTCGTTGTTTTTTTTTGTGCGTATAATACATAATACATATAATACATAGCATTCCTGTTTACTTCTTAAAAACTTCGAAGAAATAAAAAAACTAATAATAACTTGCTTATGGACCCTATGAATGGTATGGTCACCTGCAACACCATGAAGTTGAAGGGGTTCTGGGTAATTAGGGATCGGGGAGGTAACCTTCGGTAACCTCACTCACACGGCGAAACACAACGCTATGGTTGTATCACGCCGCTTTTTTGATAGACCATGGGCCCCCCCTGCTTCGGCACGAATGGGTCGGCTCGACCGGAGTGATACCACGGCCTCACAGAAAACCGGCGTGAAACAACCACAGCGTTGTGTTTCGCCGTGTGAGTGAGGCCACCGCAGGCCCAATCCTTCCCCACCTCCAATCCCTCCTCAATCCCTAAATCTCCAAATCCCTAATCCCTAAAATATCGGCAACGCACTCGTAACTCCTACGTTGCGGGTGTCCATGGGCGGCACTGATTACTTACCATCAGGTAATCCGTCTGCTCGTTAGCCGATCTATTCAATAAAAAAAGGGGTTTTATGTTTTTTTGTTTGTGCATGTTTCGGCATGGGCTGTCTCGTCCGGGAAACATGGTTCTCCCACAATTATTGCACACACCCATATTATTATTAATATTTAATTAAATTGAAAATATTATTTTTACCTAAAGAGCTAGGTCCTAATATGGGAAAAACGGTACCACTTCTTGGGATTAAATGGTGTCACGTTATGTAGATTGATTTGATAGAATAGGTATAATTGATGGATTGGAATAAACCGCAGGTACTAGGTGATAAGAACATGTAAGAAGTACCTTAAAAACATCTACGTTTCCAATGGAAACACACACACGAATGAATTAGAGCCTTGCTATAAATATACATATTAGCATGATTAATATATTGGTAGGTAAATAAACTATAAAACAAACATTATGTACTTCAATAAATTTAAAAACTTGTTTGACTACATTCAGTTCTGTTTTATTGCTAGTTGTAACACGAGGACCGAACTTTTAATTGGTTGAACCGCGAATCTTGAACCACGTCAATTCCTGAAACAAACCAGTAAAAAATACATAATAATATACAATATTATATATCATAATAGGGCGTAATATAGAATATTCTAGGCACATCACATTTTAAACCAACAATATCTTACCTAAAAAGATATCATTCTGTTCGTCATTTTATTTCACGATTTTTTTCTGAGTAACTGGAAGGTCGTAGGATACTTGAAACACTATACTTTAAGTATCAGTGGTATCAATTAGGTAGGTCGCAGCTTCATTCCGTTAAGTGATGTGCTACTGGTGACACGGCTGACATGAATTCGAGGGGACAGCTAAAATAGTTTAACACTGGTATGTTTATTGATTGTGTTTTAATATCTTATATTCTATTTTTTATGTTAGCCTGGTAGTGTTTTGGTAACTTGGATTATGAAATTTAGTAAAATTAAATAATAATAATAAGAACAATATTTGGAAATCGTGATATAGGTACTTTTGGATTAAGTTTAGAATGTGGGTTTAATAATAAGTTAATAACTAATGCCATTTTTTGTCACTGATTACTTACTGCAAAAGATATATTATCTTTTAGGGTTGATTTTTAAATAGTCAGATAAATGTTATCTGAAGAATAAAATTGTTGCTGTCACTGTCTTATACAAAAATTCTGACGTGGAAGAATTACAATTATTCCCCAGATAGCTTTTATCTAACCATAGAAAAATCAGCCCTAAGTCGTACATAATACAGAGGAAATTTAATTCTTCATAAAGCATTCCTTAAAAATATTGAGCATCTTTACAACGAAAACAGAAAGAGTTATTAAAAAAAAACTATATTTACAGTTTTGCTTATAAGTTCTTGATCCTAATACCCCTATTATATCAATTATATCATTATGTATAACTTGTATGCCATTCTTTCACGTCTAAATAAATAACGCAGACGGTCTGACGTGATTTTTTTGTGTAAAACAACATACAAGGTAGATTCAGATCTATTAACTAAAATATGCAACTACCATAGTTTTATATTTAGATCGTATTCGTAATACGCATTTTACATATAATAAGACCTGTTGACTTATGGATTTAATTTTAAAAGTTTGCTTCGAAATACAAATATTGGAAGTATTTAGTAATGGCGATTTAAATAATGTATACTTCACATATATTAATCTGAATGGTCTCTGGTATTTACTGGAAGTTCGACAAATGGAATTTCTTCTCAGCACTAGACAATCTAGGGTTGAGTTGAGAGGCAAGTGCTATAAGGTACCTATACCTCTGTCTTTATCAGGAGAAAAGAACGGGGTGGTTTTCAGTCAGTATAATTCTGACACTCTCCCGTTTCACCCGGGGCAAAGGAACTCATATGATGATTACCCCCCATCAAACAAAAGGCTAGTACCGGTGCGATGAACAAAAACTGAGGGGTTCGTGTGAACGCGTTGAGCCTCAGAACTACTGGTTCTAAGTAAACAATTCGTTTCGTGTTGGATAGTCCATTTATCAGAAAAAGCTATGAGCTGTAAAAAATTACATGAACGAACGACAATTATCGTCGTCAGCTAGAACATATCCACAATAAAACCAAAAGCAATGGTTTCTCTCTTCGACAAGCGTTCATGCCATATTCGACTTCTATTTCTTATACAAATAAATTAATATTCTTTCGTTAGTCTCGCTTTAACTCGAAAACGGCTGGCTTATATTCTTAAGATTCTGGGGATGCCTAGTCTTATGGAATCTGGTTGCTTAGCCAGCTTCTTAATTTGGGACGATTTCAGCCAGTAATCGAAATATTGAAAACGAGAATATATTTCTACGAATGTTATTTATATGTTTTGCAACAAATCATTACTTACTTGTTTGATTATTTCTTTTGGATTTGTAGGTATTAGGTATTATATCAATGTCATGCCATTAGTCAACTGAACTGTGATTATTTTTACTTATAAAAAATTGCTATAATTTATTTTTGACAGCAGATAATATTTTTTATTTATTTTATGTTATTGTAAATCCTAGTTAATTCTTTGAATAGTGATTTGCGCATATACCTAATTTTGTTGAAGTAATAGTTGTTGAATTAATGTTTTCAGCTGCAACTTCATCTAATAGAAGAGAATCATGGGGGTCGCTCTTCAAATCATTGGCACCACAATAAGTAAGTATGTAGACGTAACATTACTAGTTGCACCTGGGCATGACCATATGCTTCCAGAATACTTTAGCGTCATAGAAAAACAACGGCATTTATTAACTGGTGTATATTTAGTGGATTGAGGAGCTTTTGGGGGAAGGAAAAGGATTGGGTAGCCGGTAACCTCACTCACACGGCGAAACACAACGCTGTGGTTGTTTTACGCTGGTTTTCTGTGAAGCCCTGGTATCACATAGGTCGAGCCGACCCATTCGTGGCTATTACAGTAATACTTACCTAATTTCAGTATGTCTTTCGTGCGCAAACATGGGTATATTGATGGCGTGGCCATCTTCCACCATTCTACTCTTCAAGTCTGAAAACACAACTCTTCATCGGCCCATGAGACCAGCAGAAGTATCCCTTCTTGGTAGTCTGCCATCTATAGGGTGCCTGATAGCTAACCCCATTGCAGGGTTGGTCCTCGACAGATTGGGTAGAAAGAAATCAGTCACATTATCTTCCCTAATTTTCGTGGTGAGTACCAGGCTAGTATAAGTATTGAGAAGCGTGCGTCAGACTTACCAGTCCAATCAATTAATTGATACTTCTTGTGACGAGACTGGATTTTACATAAGTTGAAAGAAACAGTTTCCATTGTATTTGTAAGCTTCTAAAACATATGTACATATCTTTTAAAAGAGTAATGATGGAGTTTATTTCCAGTAATTCTCTATTTGAGTCTACACTTTGACTTTGAAACAAGCATCTAGCTGCACTGACTAAAAGACTGACTGACTGACTGATATGGTTAGTCGGAATAAATTACTTTTTAACTGTTAATTGCCGATCGATTGTATTGGTTCGATCCGTGTTTCGAACGAATCAATTAGGTACATTCTTTTTATATTTTTTAACTAATGTTCTTAGTGATTTATGAAACATTTTATTTTCAGATTGCGTGGTCAATAATAGCTCTATCACGTCAGGTAGAGGTGATTCTCACCGCGATGTTTGTAGGAGGTCTCGGGTTCGCCGTGTTCCTGGAATCTACTATTTATATAAGCGAGATATGCCAGGACTCCATAAGAGGTAGGTGTTTATAAACAATGAAATATTTTTGGAACTCCTTGGTTCTAATGTCGCCCTGGTTTCATTTGGTTGACTCATCTTCTTAATGTTCATTTTCAGAGCATTAAGGATGATTTTCCTTTACAAAAAAGAGTTTCTGTAGCTATTTTCATTTGGGTTTGGCCCTAAAATTTTATTTCCACAATAATCGCACGTTTAACAAAAAACAGAACTAACTCATTTAAGAGGGCATTTAAAAAATAAACCTTATTATTGACTTAGGCCTCTTTTCTATTAAGCATTCGAATTGTTTGAGAACCTTGTTATTTATAATGAAAAATTCTTTTTTTATCTTTGTCTATTAGTATGAAAACTACAGTACGACCTACTTGCTTACATGTCTATATATAGTTACGTATCTTACCAAAGCCGATTAACTGCGCCTAAAATAAGAGGCAGTCTAATTTTACGCTTTAATAAATGTATCTTTTGTAAACGTAAGTGTCAAGCTATATTTATCTAATGGGTCGAGCGGTTTCTAACTAGTGCACATAAGTTTTTACGTGGTATAGGTCAGTAAACGAGCTGAATTATCACCTGATGGTAAGCCATTGGTGCTGCATGCAAATAATTAGCATGTTGCTGGTCTTTTGGGGAGTAGACATATGAGTATTGGGCGATTTAGGCATTGAGATTTGGGGACTCAGTTACAATAAAGCGCTATCCTGAAGTGAAGTCCCGGGGTTGCGGGGTAAGCGCAATGAGGCACCGCTACCTCGGCAGGAGAAGGAACAGGGGGTTTTTAGTCAGTAAGAGTCTGACACTCCCTCCCGCCCTGGGCGGGAGAAGTCAATTGATGATTTTCCACTCACAAAATAAATTCCTGAAGTGAAGTTGTAGCGTGATGTTTTATAGCCTAAAGCCCGAGTAATAGAATATGAAACACGGATAAAATATTCAAATCGATCCATTTTTTTATGTCGTCATTCGCAGGCGTTTGACCGCTATCACACCTGGTGGAAAGTAATGAACCTATGCAACCTATTCACTAGGGCCTTGAAGACACCTATGTTTATTATACTCTTCGGGGAAAACAGACTCTTTCACTTTCAAATTCTTTGCAGGAGGCAAAGAATTTTGCTCGTACGTTCCGTAGATTAGCGCGTCCAATCAAAACATTCTTCAGCTTTATATCCTTATAGGTACTAAAGATCAAAGCGTAATGTTTTATAGCCTAGAGCCTTCCTCGAAATAGACTAACAAACACAAAAACAATTTTTCAATTCGAAACAGTAGTTTCGGAGATAAGCGCGTTCAAACAATACATTCTTCAGCTTTATATATTACTAGCTTCTAGCTACTCTCGCGCAGTTTCACCCGCTGCTCAGCTCCATTTGATCGTAATGTGATGTTTCATAGCCTATAGCACTCAGGAACATTGTAACTATCTATCAGTGAAAGAATTTTGGCAATCCGACAAGCGGTTCTAAAGATTACCCCCTACATAAAAACTTACAAATTTTACCTCTTTATAATATTAGTGTAGACTAAAGAGAAAGTATATGGGTTCCAGGCACAATGACATCAGGTCCGATGCAGTTCTATGGGTTTGGCATCCTGGTCTCCTACTTCCTCGGCGGGTGCCTGACGTACGACCACATGGTGTACGCCTGCCTCTCACTGTCTGTTGTTGGGGTGCTGCTGCTGTCCGTGCTTAAGGAGTCACCCCTGACCCTCATGTCTAAGGATCGAGAAGAGGTATTTTTGAACATTGCTTCACACTAGTTCTGAATAACACTGTCCTTGTTGAAAAACAAATCACATAAATAAACCAAAAAATGCTCTATTAGTTTCAATTAAGTCACAAAGGGACTTTATTTATTTCTTTATTTATACACTTTATACAAAAGAATGTACAGGCGGACTTAATGCCTTGGGCATTGTCTGACAGTCGACCTTCAGATGGTGGAGAGATGAGAGTGGCAGGTGACAAAAGTAGATATAACAAAATTTTATGACTATATGAGAAATACATTACATAGACAGACTTTACTCTTGTCTTTTAAAAAAAATAAAAGTTGCCCTACACTTGGATGTTGCCCTGTGTCATGGGTGCAGTTACAAACATACAATTTCACATACACATCACACCCAGACCCGGAACGGGTCCGCGCGACCGAAGTGATACCACGGCCTCACAGAAAACTGGCGTGAAACAACCACAGCGTTATGTTTTGCAATATGAGTGAGGTTACTGGAGGCCCACCCAACCCACCTATATCAATATTTTTATTTTTATATCATCGTTACCAATATATTTATTTCTCAATTACAGGACGCTGCAAAATCTATAGCGTTTTATAGGAGGGAGAAGACGACATCGAAAGAAGTTCTGCAAGAAATTGAGAAACTGAGACGGATCTTCAACGTCAACGGAGATGGTAATCTTACGATATCATTATATTTTCTAATCTGAAAAGGATAGTCAGAAATGTACCGTGTACTTAAGTAGAAAATGTTACATATATGTATATGTTTACTTGTTCACACACACATATGTTTCAATGTTAGTTATTAATTATTTATCTGGAGATTATACCAAAAATAACTAGATTTTTTAGAATCATTTGTAATACAGTCCACTACGGCTGTTCATTACTTAAATATAAAATATCAATTTTTTTTGTGAAGGGTACATTATCATATGAATTCCCTCTCCCAAAGTGAGGCGAGAGTCAGCAAGAGGCTATCAGCCTCTCTCCTCCTTCCCTTGTTCCTTCTCCTGCTCCAGGCTTGCGTTGCCGTACCTTATTGCGCTTGTCCCGCAACCACGGCTGACCATCTGCTTTTTTTGGGTCCTATCTGTGGCGGTCAATCGACTTTATGAGGCGCGTATTGCTTTTGGTCGAGTGTCGAGGTACCCTTGCTCGCCGTCCGCATGTATGTGGCGGTTGAATCTAAGAAAATTCAAACCTGTAAACTTTACTTTTTACTCAGGAATTGATTCGTCTTTTATTTTTGTTTTTGTTTTTAGACGTGCAAGCCTTGACAACAACAGAAGAAAGTTTAACACCTTTACCGAAGAATAAGAAGGTGTCTTGTTGGCAATTTTTCAGTAAGTAATTTGGTAATATGTTACGTAAAAGATTCATTATTTTAATGGCTCCAATGGTGCATTTTAAGTCTAAGATCATCCGTTCGGTAAATTATAAGATCCATGTAAAGAGTGCCCGTTTTCATTCACCGAACACCAGGCACATTCCTGAACTCCATTCTCCCTAAAACTTCACCGAAATTAAAAAAATGGGTTTCTAGCTTCTCTGCTGGAAATCAGTATTAATCCCTCTACAAGCGGCCCTAACTTGCTTCGCACAGATGTCCAAATATTTGTTACCGACGATAGGGTGGTTATTCATCAATGACTCTATCCTAAATATCTCCTTTTCTAGAATTGCAATATCAATATTGTTCCAGGCGTTGTTGAGTAATACCCTTATCAACACTTTTTGAGATTCGCTTTTATTTTACATTATAGGGTCTCTACACAGGGTATTTGCAATTTTTGTGCTTTAAAAACTTAATTTGGTTAAAAATAATATTTATACATCTGAATGTATAAATATTATTTTTTCTAAAATTTTCAGAAAATTCACCGTCTACTCGTCGCGAATTCTACATTATAATGGCGCTGAAAGTCGCGTACATCATGCAAGGACTACCAGTAGTGCAGGTTTACGCAGAGCCAATGTTTGCTGAAGCAGTACCTCGTGACGTCATCTCACCGAACCTATGCAGCGTGCTCATGGGAGTCGTCATGATAGTCGCTGGCAGTATTTCTGCGTTCCTAACTGATATACTAGGGAGACGGGTGAGTGGAAACTCTTATTGGTTTATGAATTTCTGGTATCTTATGCTAGTTTTTATCTACTTCTATTAGTTTATGAAGTTCTATGTGTTGTCTACTTCTATTGTTTTATGAAGTTCTGGTACGATACCAGAACTTCATATCGTTTATTACAGAAAAACATGTAACGCAAGTATACAACTGTTTTTGTGAAGTATCTAGTAATATACTAAATTTAATAAAAATAACGTCTCACTTACGTGAGTTACCTAACAAAAGCTCTCCCAGTTTCAAATCACAACGGTACGCTATATGAGCAGTATAATCTTCAATAAATTTAGTATGAGACTAATTAAAAATGATTATGTATGCAAGCAATAAAGGACTTTTGGTGATCAGAAGATAGCATCACTGAAGGTTCTCGGTCCAATTGAATAATTAATTTTAACGCATAACAAATGTTGAAACTTATGAAATAAATATACCATGTATATGCCTATAACATTTTATTAAACAGTGCGTATTATAATAGCAGAAAAACGTCTAGAAATTTCGGAAATAGAATTTCTTGATTACATAAACAAATAACTGTATGTGTATTTAATTTTTTTTTTTGTAATAATTAATTCAACTAATGAATAAATAAAATATATTTTTTTGGCAGCCGCTGATAATTTACTCATCAATAGCTGCTGGTGTTTGCTGCGTGGTACTAGGAACGCAGATCCTGACGGAGTGGGGGCCTACGTGGATAATTCCCATGTTTATATACGTGTACACCATGTTCTATACATTTGGCGCTGGAACCGTGCCTGTCGTCATTTTGGCCGAAGTGTTTTTACCTGAGGTTAGTAAAATATGCATTGTTAAGTGTTTTACGATCTTCTGTAGTGTATGAGGTCCTGCTTATGTCATTAGACTACGTATTCCTTCAGGGGGTCTTCGCTTTTTAATTATATTATACCTACTCATTAGACCACTAGCTGTGATTAATGTGATTTTTTGAATTATTCATGTTTTATCAAACTTACTATATGATTAATCAACGTATTCATCGATCACTAATAAAGAACTATTAGTGATTCTTGTTTATGTGATTCTTTATTGGTGATCGATGAACGTATTACAAAATTGAATTCTATTAATTTATTTCCAGGTAAAAAGCATAATGTCAATGCTAGCAGTGGAGTGGTCGTGGACAATGTGCTTCTTCGTCCAGTTTATGTTTCACCTCCTCATAAGTTCTGTAGGCCTGGTACCTGTGTTCTACTTCTTTGCTTTTATGTGCTTCTCTACTGCTATTTTCTTCTTTTACTTCTTGCCAGAGACCAAAGGACTGTCAGTTTATGCCATACAAGAATTATTTTCTAAGAAATGGTTACGATAATTAGTTTTTTAATTAGCTAATAAGATTGTATTATAGGGATGTAAATAATTTATTATGAGTTTAAGTTGTGTGTCTATGTAATTAAATAAATATATACATATAATTGGACATTCAATATGATTTACAATATTCTGCACCAAGGGATAACAGGTTGCAATGCGATAAAAATTCAGAATAATATATGTATAGACGAGTATGTATGCATGTAAATATAAATATAAACATGTTATATTGATGCAAACTAATCCTATTTATGTTATAAACGCAAATATTTCTAAGTATGGATGGATTCTAGTTACTCTTTAACCTAAAAAAACAATGAATGTGTCTTATTTTGGCACAGAATACACGTTACGTTACATTATACCCTACTGCTGTGGGTGAAGCCGGTGGGAAAAACTAGCTAGTATAAAAAAATTGCGGCGCCTGTGTAAATATTAGTGCAATGAAACCTGAAAATGTGCTAAACATAGCTGCGATGTAGCGACACGAAGAGTGCTCTGCACTTCTTAATTAATACTTTTGTAATTAAATAGGGCAAAAATTCCGTTAAGAACTAAATCATTTTAAAAGAGGTACAGATTCAATTAAACTGCCGAATAATTAGTTCTTTAATTAAGTATGATACTCAATACAACACTATTAAAACAAAAATACTTAAAAATACAAATTCACCTATTAAGTAATAGAGAAAGAATGACAAAATCTACAACTGTGCGATTTTCTGCCTCGCATAGCCAAACTTGATTTTTCGGCTATATTTTCGAATCGAAACGACCTTTAAACCCTCAAGGAATGAGCACACTCCTGTCTAAAAGGCTACGCGTCTGTAAGTTACTCCTCTGGTGTTGCAGGTGTTCATGGACGGCGCTGATCACTTGCCAACGGGTGATCCGCCTGCTCGTAGTTTGCACCTTATTAAAAAAAAATCGCGGGTCCAGGTTAATAAGGCACCGCGGCCTAGGCCTGAATCAGGGTTTTTAGTCAGTAAGAGTCTGACATTCCCTCTTGCTATATCCTGGGCGAGAGAAGACTTTTGATGATTCTTTTCTCCTCAAGAAAAAAATCGTAAAGATCTCGTTGCTTTATTTTGAAACAACATATATATTACGGTTTGACAAATTGAAAAAATGTGATTATTAAATCACTTAGGGAAATGATAAAGTATAAATATTTGTCTAGTATCACCACGCTGTAGCTGGCCACGGATAAATATTTAACATTCGCTCTCATTTCATAGCAGTCGCATTTGGTATAATTTATATCGTCGGTAAAGCGTTGGTTGACTCGCCGGCCGTTGACCCGACATGCAATGAGGTCAAGGTTCCTTCGATCAGACAAGACAATCAAACGATATTGTATAAACTGACTGATACAAGATTTGAATAAACTTTAGCATAGGTCAGCTGCTTAATAAGTGTGGGAGAGCACTGTTTCGGCACGAATGGGTCGGGCACGGCCTCACAGAAAACCGGCGTGAAACACCCACAGCGTTGTTTTCCGCCATATGAGTGAGGTTACAGGAGGTCCAATATTTCCCCTCCCCCAATCCCTAAATTCCCAAACCTCTGACACCTAAAAGGTCAGCAATGCACTCGTAACCGCGGTGCTGATTGCTCACCATCAACTAATCCGTCTGCCGTCATATCAAATAAAAAAAGGTGTAAGTAGCTAAATATTCAAACTCAAAGGTGATATAGTGATTTATCAACGCACAGCCCAAACCACTGGACGGCTCGGACTGAAATTTAGCATGCAGGTAGATGTTATGACGTAGGCATCCGCTAAGAAAGGATTTTGATTAATTTTATCCCCAAGGGGATAAAAAAGGAGATGAAACTTTGTATGAAACTTTGTCAGTTTTAAACCGATCGGGCTGAGACCTTGCATGCATAAAGCTCCTATAATGCGTATGCATACCTATACGTAATTAATAATAATATTTTTCAACGTGAACGAAGCTGCGGGCAAAAGCTTCATTATAAACACATTTCGATAAACTTGAAAAACTGCGAAGAGTAGAGAATAATTGGCAAATCTCTCTTACGTAGAAGAGAAGTGCAATTATCCTGGCCTGGATGAAAAGAAGGAACGGAGCGGTTTGTAGTCTTCAAAAGTCATTCCTTCTCGACTCACTTAGGCACAGTCATTTAGGCAAATGACTTAATATTTCACCTTAGGATATGCTCAATAATGATAGCCCATAGTCTAGCAATAAATTGTCGCAGGCTTTTGATGGTAATCATTTCATTGATTGTCGATTCATACACCGGTTCCATTTATGAATTAGAACGCCAAATGAACAGACGGATTACCCGATGGCTAAGCATTCGTCACCACATATGGACTGGGGCTTAATAACAAAGGAATTCAAGGGCATTGTACGCCTTTTGGATTTGGGATTTGAGAATAGAAAGAACCCTATTTCCTGCTATCTTATATCCTACTAATACAATCATGCTACTCCTCAAAGAGGGGTCTTACCGCTGCTATAACAGCGTGCCCAGCCCTCGGTTGCGACAGTCGCAGCCTCCACTCAGTCATGAGATCTCGCCGGACCACATTTGGCCATGCACTAATTTGGCGCGGTAAAGGATTTTCGTCCCGGCGACGCGCGAACGACGCGACGCGAACTGTTGGCGCGCGTGAGCGTCTTTGCTTCCAGATCCCACGGCGGTGATCCTAGTATATATATGTATAGTATAGTAAACATTTTTTTTGCGCACTGGAGGTGATTTGGGCGTTCCGAGGAAGACTGGCCTCACTGGGCCTTCAATAAGCTCACTCGCACAACAGAAACGATACTTCAAGTCGATTTTTTGATATCGTGGTATCAGTCCAGTTGAGCCGGCCCATTTGTACTCAAGCTCTCTCACTCTTGATTTAATATGATATTGATACTTTTCCTTCTTGGAATGGATAAGCTCATTAATGATGCCTAAATGCCTTAAATTCAAAAGCAGGCTCCTAAGAAAAGAGTCTAGATCTGTCTAAGCCATAATAAAACTAATTAGGGTATATAAAATACCTCAAAGATGTAAGAATTGAAGTTTACATTCTCGTCGTATTTCTATAGTAGGTATGTTGAATATTTCAATTGTTTTAATCCAAGCGTTATTATTGCGTACAAGATCTCGAATGTGATCGACATACGTTACGTATAACTTGAAGAATTGTGACTTGAGAATAACAATAGTCTTCTCACATAGAAAAATATTTGCATGATGAGCTAATAACGCAGTTTCCCACCAAACAATTTCAGTACGTTTATTGAAATGTCCAAAAATATAGTTTTAATTGCATAATAATTATAAGTTTGGAATTGCCAATTCATCTTGAGAATGCGTAGTGAATAATGCTCAAACCTTCTCCGAGTGAGTAGAGGCCTTTGCTCAGCAGCGGGCATTTGAGAGCTGATGATGATGATGATGATGAATGGTATACTTGTATATCGATGGAGCCATGACTTATAAAGCGCTTTATCCAAAATCAAGACATTATTATAATTCTGTAGTCTGTCTGTACAAGTATCAAACGCGCATAATTCACTGGAGCGTGACAAAATGTCATCATAGATACCAAGGCCACATAAAAATCAAGATATTAAACCGAAATAGTATCGTTAAATAGCAGTTAATGCCTATTGCATGTATTATTAATAAAAATGTTGATGGATTTTTGACTTGAACTTTGAGTTTTATATTAATGAAAGTACTTTTTTGGTAAGCCACCAGAACACGGCTCGGGCACGCTGTTATAGCAGCGTTAAGAAAGAAACAGGAACTCCCTGTTTCGGATCCAGCGGGAGGAAACCTTCGAATACTAAAGGACACGGTGGAGCATACGACAGAAGTCATTTTATGATTTTCCCCTTACAAAAAAAAAACCAGGCCACGGCTGACGGGGTCTAATAGATGTCCTAGCTAGGTTTGTGATAACAAGCGCAAAACTGTTCTTTATAAAACTTTTTAAGTAATTTAATATTTATTTCTGTAGTACCAGGGTATCAGAATACAATGAATATAAGTAGACAATAACTCCTTTTTGTTTAAGACAGATAAATGAACGTGAATTTAATGTTTAGTAACGTATCTATCTTAAAATAAGTCGCCCACCTAATTAGAATTCACAAAACTACGTCGAAAGATTGATTGATTAGGAATTTACGATCACATTGTACTAACCAACATCCCGATAGACCCATTGTGTATCTCAACTGAATATGAATGAGATTTGCACGTATGTAACAATCTCGCCACTACACCCAATGGTGCTTACGACCTTTATCCGTCTACACTGGCCAGATATTTAATGAAAAAGTTGGTTAAAAACGACGTAAGCGACACAAGTAGGATGGCAGATTGTTTATTTTTAAAGCGGTGTTCCCTGTCTGCGGAAGTGCTGTGACATTTTGAAACGAAAAAACGTTTGTGAATAACTGTTATTTATAGCAGTTATTTTTACTAGAATGTCGAGGTTAGGTAATATAGTGTACGGCTTATAATGTAATAATCCGGTCAATGTATGACGAATAAATTATTAACTGAAGTCGTTATCTATGACGATTATTGCACAAATGTGACTTCAGTCTTTGAAAAGGCCCAATAAACCGCCACAGACGAGGCCCTATAGGGCTGGTGTTCAGCCTGGGTTGCGGGGTAAGCGCAATGAGGCACCGCGACCTCGGCCCAGAGCAGGAGTAGGAACGGGGGGGTTTTTGGTCCGTAAGTAGTAGTAAGTCTGACACTCTCTCTCGTCTTACCCCGGGCGGGAGAAGTCTTTTGATGATTTTCCCCTGACAAAAAAAGGGCTGTGTCTTTGTAGAGGACCTGGCTTCAGTTAGGTAAGAATCCCAAGGCTATTAATCCATACAAATATTATAAAGAGGTAAAATTTGTTGTTAATCCAAAATTCTTTTACTGATGGATAATTACAATGTGCCTGAATGCTATACGTTAGTATCAAAGAGAACTCAGCGTCAGGCACTAGATCTCTGGCATTTATGCTGAACTGGACCTTTTTTGGTGCAGCTGTCGCACACAACACTGTTATTAGTGTATTAAACTTTAGAATTTTTGTATATCCTACCTACATTTATTTAGTGCTCTTTTTTTATTCACAGTTATTTTTGCTTTCACTAGAGGACAGACGGACAGATTGAAACGCTTAATTTTAAAGCTCTTGAAATATTTTTTCCGTTTTTTGCTTGACGTTCAAAAGTGCCTACTGTGGTCTAATTGAAATAAATGATTTTGACTTTCACTTTGACTTTGACTTTGACTTTCTTTCTAACTTGCCCGTCGAGTTCACTGCGCTGGAATAAGCTTTACGTGGACTCTCTGGGCGAGTCGGTGGCACTGAATGTGTAAATTAATTACTTTTGTCAATTAACCAATCAATATTACGATTAAGATAATATGTTTCTTTGTTGATTTGTAATCTTGCATTAGGTGCAGCGATTAGATATAGGAACTAATAATTAAGCACTAATTATCTTTTACTAGGGGGGCCTAAGAGCCTTATCAGTTTGTTGTGTAATAATTTATTGACATAACGCTTTCAAATCCTTATCTCCTAGTCATTGTATTTGTCCTATTCAATATGACATGACCATGTTTCTGGTGGTATCACTTCGTATTACTTACTGAGGTTTTTTTAAAACCTTTAATAATAATATAATTGACCTTTTGTATGAGATAGACCGGTAATCGAGCCATAAGATCACCTGAAGATAAGCAATCTGTGGAGGATGAGGCCTCCGGCAACTCACCTAAGCGGTGGCGTGGAATCGGTTGAAGCTTTATTTTTTTATGTAATAGGATAGCAATAGCAAAAAGAGTAACCATGGAGTTTCTTGCTCGTTCTTCTCCATCGGAATCTACACCTTGGAACGAGCTCTTACTAAGAGACTGACCGACAGACTGACACTACGTATATCAGAAATATCTTCAAAATTTTCTTTTACGTTCAATAGTGCCTGCCTAATT